TTTTTTTTTTTTTTTTTTTTTTTTAAGAATTGTTTTTTAGTTTTCCTTTTCTTTGGCTTTGCAAAATTTACGCATATTTCAGTATATTTGTACATATATATATGGTTTTTGTAGATGTGATATTAATTTGCCGTCTAATTGTGGTTCGTATTGAAGGCAGGTTTTAAATCAGTGATTTCGTTATAATTCAGTTCGAATTCTTCTCGTTTATGCACCTTAAAGCTAATTTGGTCATCAGTGTCTTGAGCTGTTATTAGAAGAGGAGTTACGAGCTTCATTTACTTCTCCATTTTTTCTTTTTTTGGCGGGGGGGAACAGAGGGAGGGAGAGAGGTATCTTTCTTCAGGATCTCTGAACTTTGAAATCAAGAATGCATTTTTTGAGCTCTAAAGGAGTTTGCTTTTATTTTTTGGTGTTATTTTTTTGGTTTTTTTAAAATTTTTTTCTTTTTATGAACAATGTTGTTGTTGCTTGAGTGAAGTTAAAAACGAGTGGATAGGGCTGTTAAGAGATACTGATCACTTTTTCTTTGTGTTGTGCGAGGGTTTTTTGGGTATAATTATGCAAATCGGAATGGATTGGAATTGGACTTAAGTGTAATTGACAGGGTTTCTTTACGGAATGGAATGGTTTTGAGTTGATTCTGAAATGATCATGATTTATATGCCGTTATAGACAATATCTAAGTAGTTTTTACAAGTTTAGTGATGTACAACTATTGTGTGAAGAGGATATCATCCATTAAAATTTCTAGGTTTTTATCTCTCGTTAATTAATCAATTTTCTTCGGAAAGACAGTTTCTTACGAATTTTAGTTTGGACTCGGAATTTTTTAATAATTATTGGAAATGGAGGTTGTTGTTTGTTACTAGATTCTCATGGGCTACTTGATTCTTTTTTTTTTGCTTTTGTGTAGGTAAACTTTCTTATTAACTACTTTTTGGAGTTGTTGCATTTTCCGGTTTTTAAGGCAGTAATCAGCTGTTCAGAAAACATGGTTGCAATTAATTATTACCCTAGTTGATGAGAAGCCACATAAAAGTGAGTTTGTAGGTGAGTCGAGGCTTTGTTTTCCTGTTCTTAATCCTTCCTTTTGAGGTCTTGGAGCAAGTTTCTTTGCGAATTAATCCGTTTAGAATCGAGGAACTGATACACACTTACTTCGTTTGGGGTTTTTTGATTGGGCGGACACATGTCTACTAGAAAAAATAAAAAATCATAGAGCGGTGTATTCATATGGGATTCTTTTGGGATTGTTAATTGGACAAAAAAAAAAAATCGTTGTGACGACCCATGCATAAAGTGCAGAAAATATGTAGTATAATAAAAACTAAGAGATTCAGAGAAGCGGTGTATATGATAGATTGTGAGAGCGGCATTGCATGTTGAATGGACGGGAGAATGAATGGGTGAATGAGAAAGAGAGAGATAGAGAAAGGGAGAAGAGATGTATTGCTACCGCTGCTGTTGTTTGTTGTGTGTTGGTATTGCTGGTGGCGGCGTTGTTGTCGGTTTTAAGGCAAGCTGCAAAATGGCCGACAGCAACGGCAACAGCGGCGGCGATGACGGCAACAGCAGTGGCGGCAATAATAATCATAATGATAACAACAACAGTAGCGACAGCAACAACAGTCAGTCAGTCAGTTAGTCAGTCAGTGAATTAAGAAGCGTAGACGATTGGAAGAAGGAGATAAATGGAATGGTGTTGAGAAGGATATGCGGGACATGGGAAAAAGCATTTGAACGACAACGGCAAAGACTCGGAGAAATAAAGAGAGAGAGAGGGTATTTGGTGATGCTGAGTGATGTTGCCGTTGCAGCAGCCGCAGCATCTGAGTTGCTGCTTAATGTCACACCTAAAGATCAATATTTGTGATGTGGAAACTGACCAAAAACAGAACATTGCATGGTCACCTAAGTTCTTGTTTTGCGTTTGTATAGAAGTTGAATATTTTTTTTAAAACTCATGCTGAAAATGTGCACACAGTTGTGTTTTGACACAAATTTAGTGTTAGCTGAGAAATTTTGGATTTTGCCCAGCTATTTGTTTTAGTTAATATTTTATGTCGGTAATCCTTTTTATATTTTGTTTACTTCCATGGTTTTTACCAGATCAATTTATAACATTTATTGTACTTATTGTTATTTAATATTCGTTCCGACATTTGCTCTACTTGCGTTATTTTTCGTATTTATTATTTTTCTGTTCATTCTTGTTGACAAAATCTTATATTCCTTTTTTTGTTATTGTCGCTGGTGCCAGCTTTCTTTTCTAAATTTTTTTCCTCCATAGTTTGAATGGCTTATTGTTGAGGTCTTGTGTAAGCCAAAAAGTTGGGCAAGGAAAAAATGTGTGCAAGTAGTGACCGCCCAAGAAAGTTGAGCAGTAAACAAGAAAAGAATGAGGAAAGAAGGGAGTAGAGGCTGAAAGGAAGTGTTTAGATTTAAAATAGTAAAATGGATTTATTTTTTTGGCTTGAACCGAATGTCAGCTTATTGTTTTTATTATTGGTGTTGTTGCTGCTTGGGCAGAAAGTGTTTATTTCAATCAGGAAGTTGTATTTATTTGTCGAAAATACCACTTCACTGCTATGTTGTATGAAATAGAAGCTATTTCTGAGAAAATTAAGTTTCAAATGAGGTTACTGAGGTTACTGAAGACTTTTCTAATTGGAAGAAAAGATTATTTCGTGGGATGCTCAAGTCTATTGAGAAGATATTTTTTTGTTGAGCGACAGGTTTTGATTCGTCTGATGGTTAAAATTTAATTCTTAATATTAATAGTAATGTCCTGTGTTTGAGTATAGCAGAAACCCGGTTGATAAGTTAAAACTTAGACATAATTAAGTAGTGGCGCTGACGAATATATTTGAGAATGTTGACTGTTGCGATAGACACAAAGCTAAAAGGGGCTGCAAAAGACAATGAGTAATATTTAGTACTGTTACTTCTTCTTATTTTTTGTACTTAATTTTTTTTAGCTGATGACTAATCAAGGATCATTACTTTGAACTGTTGGCTACGGTTATTTGCTTATTTATTCATCATTTGCGAGCAGTTACATTTTAGAATTATTATACATGATAGTGATGCTAGGGTGCATGAACGGTTACGTGAAAGATGAAATGGCTAAAATTTTTTCGCAATATTTAATCCAAATTTATGAAGGCCTCAACTGTTGCTCTGAAGTTGTTTGTGCTCTAAAATGATTAAGGTGTCTGGGTTATGGAAGGTTGTGGTTGCCATT